CTCAGAGGTCTGAGGGTCTCATTTGCCTCGAATCTTTGCTTCTGAATGATTTTGGAACATTGCTGCCTTGAGATGATTTGCTTGTGTGCTTTGAGATGTGCCTTACTGAGATGCCTATGATGAAGTTCACTTCTGAGGCTTGGTGTTTGAATATCTTAGATGTTGGTTTCATAAGATGGTGAGGCTTGAGTTTGGATATGAGGTTTGATTGCTAATGCTGGTTTGATGGTCTTTGACAAGTTCTGAGTAATGTTAGCTTGGCTTGGTTTTGATCAGTTTGTAGGTATGGGTTATGTTTCGTGACTGATGCTTGGCTTGAGGTTGTTCAGGTTATGGTGTTGTTGAAGGTTGAGGCAGGGTATTGGTGTTTGATAGGTTGCAAGTTGTGGTTCTTTGTTATGGTAGTAGTGGTGTTCTTTTGACTTAGGCAGGTTGTGGTGCTTTTGAAGGTTGAGGCTAATGCTGGTTTGATGGTTTAGGGGTTAGACAGGTTTGAGGTGTTGGTATGTTATGCTGTGTGGTTTGGATATGGTACCGGTGCTTATGCTGGCTCAGTTTTGTATATCAGGTTTTTTAGGCTTTGGCTTCAGCTTGTATATATCTCTTCTTCCCTTTTCTTACTTCTGAACTGAGTTTGCTTTGTACTGGCTGCCTGCTATGCTGAACTGTCTTGAACTGTTTTATTGGCTTTTGATGATTTTGTATATCTTCTGCTATCTTGCTCCTGAACTGTCTATGTTTGCTTTGTACCCCTGCTGAACTGGTTTTGCTTTTGTGTATTTACCCTAACCTCTCTATTCTGAGCTGCTATCTTGCTGAACTCAGTTTGTCTCTTTGATTTTGTATCTCCTTTTTGTCTTGCTGCCTGCTACTGAACTGAACTGTCTTTTTGATTTGCATAATCTTTTTCTTCTATCTTCTCTACTGTCTGCTGTCTGCTGTGTACTATGCCTAAATCCCTGCCTTGCTGCCTTTATCTCTCTTTTCTTCTCTCTTTACAGTACAATTTAAGAATTTTATAATGTTTATTGTACTTTTCTGAAGGGGCTATGACTAGGGAAATGATGAAAAGATTTCTTGCATCTTACATTTTGCATCTTTATCTTTTTGACAATTTTGATCTGACTTTGCCTTTTGATATCTTTTCCAAAAATCTTTCCATGACAGCTTGTATGCTTTTATTGATTTTCTTCCAAAATCTCTTATGACAGCCTTGAGCATTTGTGACAGTAAATGCACTTTTGAAATCTTTCTTTGAGTGGACTTTGTTTTGGATGGAAAGTTTTGATTGAACTTTTTCAGTTGGGATTGGATTTTGAATCTTGAATTTCTATGCAGCTTGAATTTTATAACTTATGCGTTTTTGACATTTGCATTTATGAGATAAAATAATCTTCCCTCTCTGTGAACCGGGAGAAATCCCGTGATTTGCAGAGAGGGTCAACTGATCCCAGTCAGTGGCCCCTAATGATGAGCAATTTAACTGTCTTTTCCAATTAACTGCTTTCTGACTTTTCTTGTTTCTTTTTGCAGATGAAAAATGGAATACCGGAGTGGAATGAAGAACGAAGAATATTAGAAAATAGGATAATTTTTTCATTCTATGTAATATTTAAATTAAATGTAAATTATTGTCTGTAATAAACAACAATTTGTACAAATAATTCAAACATCAATAAAAGTTTAAATTATCCAATTAATTCCAATTTCTTTATTGTTTATTTATTTATTTAAAATTCTTAGAATTAAAACAATTGAATAATAAATTCAATCATTTAATTTCAGAATAATAAATAACTAAAATAAAACAACATTGATCAATTAAAGTCTGTCTTATTCAATATCCAAAGCAAAGCAGCAGTCGATCCAAATAGACTGATCAAACGCATAAGCACTGTGAATCCAACACTGCATACTACATCTGACTGGCCCAATCAAAACGTACTGAATTCAAAACCACTGTCTCTTTTACTGATTAAACCAAGATAACGCGAATTTTAATCCGAATCTTGAAATAAACTGCAATGTGCTGTGGAATTTAAATTCTTCTGAGAATATGCCCATAAAACCCTAATTCCCGATTAAATGCCAAATCACGCTTGCTTGATCAAAATTGAACCCAAAAATCAATCAAACCCTAAGCCCACTGTATGAAACAATTCAGAGCTCTGAAAATCAGTAAAAACCCTAATTCTGCTTGACTGTCAAGAAAAGTCCGTTTGTCCGATTCTTGAGTCAGTTTGAGAAGTCAGGAAATGTTTGAAGCTGAGATTTCTTGGGGAAAAATGCGAGGGCAAATTTTGGGGTACAACAGATATCATATCTGACTTTGTTTGTTTCTTGGTGAAGCTTGTTCGACGTGTACTCCTTGCTTCTCCATTGCTTTCATCCGCTTTCGAAGATCCGCTTGCTTTTGGTAGTCACCGCTACTGCTTTTACATTTTCCCGCACTTTATCACATTTCTTTATTGCTTTCTAGATATCATGGGAAGTAGGAAATAAAGAGCATGTGCTCAAAGTTGTTGTTTAAAGTCCTGTAGCAGGCACCACTTTCTGTATGCTATTTGTGTTTGTTTAAAACCCTACCTTTGAAGTAAGTATTTTGCACGTATGTTTACATTTGTGCCCATATTACCCCCTACCCCCCATGTAAGTCCTCAAAAGGAGGCGAGCGGAAATGGTTAGAAATTAACCCCCACAATTTCTCCCATGTCATCCTTAGCTCGTGACGCACTACGACGCTTCAGATTCATGTAGGTCTTGTGTATCGAGTCGTCAGGTGGAAAAGGGTTTTGCAACCAATCCCCCACGCTTTGTCAGTGGTTCGCATTGGCCAATGCAGACACTCCATGATTATTCATATTGTCTTCTATCTCCCACCTCGATCTTCTATATCTTGGTTAGGTGTTTAGTCATTTTGGGCATCACATTTTTGTTTTACATTTTATTCCCACTTGTTTGCTTCAAGTGATCCACTCCCATTAGCTAAAACATTTCTCTTATTTTATATTTCACTCCCGCTTGTTTGTCCCCGGTGATTCGCTCCTCTTGACTAAAGCATTTTGCTTATTTTCTTCACCATTTTATATATGTGCTCTTTCGAGTTTGTTTGCTCACTCGCTTTCTATACCATGTTCCCTTAGGACGTGCTTGTTCCTTTTGGATGAAGTTAGACCTTAGGTTGCAAACCATGCATGATAACATTAGATAGACGTTTCCCTTATGTTAATTCAAACCTTAGGACCACCATTGTATAATAACATTAGGATTAGAAATAGGCTAGTCTCCCATAAACTCTTTTCTCCCCCTTTTTTGCATTTGTATTTAAAACTAAAACTTTGTTTTTCTTGGCAAATCATAAAACATCTTAATCATACTTAAACCCTTTTTCAAGGTAACAAAACACAAACCAATAAAGTGTGGCATCTTGCCTCGAGGGCGTAACTGAAAACCGTTTTCACAAGGATTCATCACCCATAAAAACACAAAACAAACAAAAACATGTGGGCCGAACTACGACACTCTGATTCCTTGAAAGGGATACGTAGGCAACAGGTCGCGGGGCCTAACCGAGCAAATATTCATAAATACTTCCTTTTTTTCTCCGCATTTCTTTTGCATGTATTCTTCTTCAGTAGTAAGCAATAGACATAGATTAAACACACCCATAAGACAGATAATAAGAGTGGATACTGTAGAGTACTACGGTCGTGTGGGGTGTTAATACCTTCCCCTCGCGTAACAGACTCCCTTACCCGATCTCTCGGTCGCAAGATCGTGACTTCTCCCTTCTCAGGTTTTTTCAATGTTCTCCTTTCCCTTCATGTGAGATAAAAGACGTTCGATGGCGACTTCATTGTTCGATGATTTTCAACCGGTTGTTTCAGTTGGTGTGTTTTTCAATTTGGTCCCTGAATATTTTTTTTTGTTTGGATTGCATCATGATATGTTCCAATCTCGTTATTTTAAGTCTCTAACGTTAATCTTCTATTAAAAAGATGTCGATGTGTCTAATGGAGCTGAGCTAGATTATTTATTTTAGTTTTATATTAATTTTTAGACTTATTACATGAAAAATATATTGGATGGTATATCAAAGGAGGGACCAAAACAAAAATTCCAAATATTGCATCTTCTTCTTGTCAGTCCACTCGTCTTCCTCTTCACATTCACCCATGGCTACATCCTACAATAGTCAATCCATTTATCTTCATCTTCACATTCCTCTCCTTGTTTGTGCGTTCATCTGAAAACCCTAAAAGGAAAAAAAGATGAAGATGAAGCTGAAAAGCAAAAGGAAAAAAACTATTTCAAATTTATGTTTTTCATCCTTGTATCTAATGGTGTTTTTTTTATTTTAGTCCTTTTAAGTTCCTGTATTTTCTAAATTGAGTACCTGTATGTTTCTATGTTGTCGTCCATGTTTATCAATGACTGGTAATGTATTACATATATCCTTAAAGGTCTTGGCCAAAATACATAAAGACACTATCTCAAAATGACATAAAGCCACAATGGCATAAAGGCCATGGCCAACAAACATAAAGCCACAACTTGAAAAATAGAAAAAGCCGCAATGGCATAAAGGAATAGGCCAAAATACATAAAGACATGTATAAAAAAGGTCTAAAAAAACATCAGAACACAACAAAACATGTCTTGAGTTTATCCTCAGTTGAGGACTAGGTCCCTCAGCAACATGTTCAATTTGTTCATGTGTTTGCCTTGAGGTTGTGCTTAGCTATGTGTTTGGTTTTGTGTTTGGCTTTATTCATGTCTTGCTGCATTTCCTTCCTCAATTGTTTTTTGATTTCTCAGCACGATTAATAAAATATATCACAATTGAAATAATAAACTGCTTTTATTTTTTGAGCTAATTATGGGATATATATATTACAACTGACATAATTAAATACCTCTCTTTGTGGTGCTTCCTAGCTATACGTTTTTTCCTCCCTCTTTTACCCTAAATGTTGGCTTGTTCATCCAACCCAAGAGCTTCAAATGATAAACCCATGAGCTTCAAAGTCACTATCATTACTACCATCACTATCCTTATGGTCATCTTCTTGAACATAATCTTTGACATCTATATCACCTTCACCTACAACATTGTATTCAACATCCTCTCCACGTTCACCTACAACATTATCTTCAACATTCACAACATCTTCATCGCCAACATTATCTTCAACATTCACAATAGCTTCACCTACAACATTGTCTCCAACATTCACAATATTTTCACCTACAATATTGTCTCCAACATTCACAATATTTTCACCTACGACACTGTCTTCAACGTAATGCGCTACACATTCCCTACCAAAATAAAACTTCAATGCAAAACTCATACCGATAAGTTGGTGTGAACACACTCTCTAAATGGCTTGATAAGGTTCCTATTCGAATCTCACAACTCGCATTCACCGCTCATCCACCGCCGTCCCCAATTCCTTCTTAGTTTGTAGGGACTTAAACGAAAAAAGAAAGTCTGAACATTTATATGTGAAATATATAATGAATAAAATATTATTTGGAGGGAAACAAAATTTGCCACGTAATAAGTTTGAAAAGTAATATAAACAAAAAAAATCCAACTTAGCTCAGTTAGACACATCAACGTTTTTTTAACAACAACTTAATGTTAGAGACTTAAAACAACGAGATTGAAACGTATCAGAATGCAATTCAAATAAAAAAGATTTAAGGACCAAATTGAAAAACACATCAACTTACAAAGACCAAAAGACTATTTAAGCTTTTTGGTTATGTTCAACCATTTGTAGATAATCAACTTCACATGAATTGCGATAAATGGTCAACAAATTCTTCATATGACTACCAACAACAAATTGAGCCACTAAGAAGCTCTCAATTGTTTGATCATGTCTTTGGAGGAAGTGAAAGTAACAACAATGAAGTGATATTAAAAATTATGATTATGGTTCATCGTTCTACCGTGCGATGGTTAGTGATGTAAACAATAATTTTTCCCTAAACTCTTTTTTTATGATGTGAACTTAATAAAAATAAAAATAAAAAATAAAATAAAAATAAAAAAAACTTATTTCTTTTTAAAAAATAATTAAAAAATAGTCGAATTTTCACGTGAAATTAAAAAAAAACTACGTCTAGCGTCACGTATACAGATTCTACTGAAATCTTGATCTAATGTCAAATTAGAGGGAATCTGAATTTGTTGAAGGGAAATTTTTTTATTTATTTTTAAAATGGGATAAATCGAAACCAGCTACTATTGTAAAGGATAAAAGACATTTAACACTATAATTAATTTATCATGAACAAAGTGTTTGAAAAATTTAATACGAGGAGTTATTACTTATTAATTCATTTATTTTCGATTGATCAAAGATAAAATCTTTTGTTAAATACATTATTGATAATAGTTATTAAATCATATTCACATTTTTATTACTATATTTATTTTAAATATCTTATATATAATAATGAAAATAATATTAATTTAAATATTCTATACGATATAACTTACAAATAATATTATTGTACAATATTGTGGCCAGTTCACACTGCAACAATTATTATTTACAACACAACAAATATATTGACCGAAATCATGAAAACCACTGCATAAATGTTACCATTTCTTAAAACCTCTTCAATACTTATTAAAAAATGAAATAAGTATGCCAATTTTTGTTATCTAATACAACCTACTTTAGACTCTTTTGTTAAGATTATTTTCACTACCCTCCCCCTATCCTTAGTGTCAACTTTTGTCCAATAAGGATTATTATTGATTATTTTCAATAGCCTCTCTTATGCATAGTTAGATTTTGTTCTAAAACACCATTAGAAGTTTTCTTTACAATCTAGTGGTGTAGTTTTGTTAGCCTTTTCTTACATTTTTCATCTATAAAAAAAACTAATGAATTGTGACTATTTTTTGGTCTAAATTAAAGCATTTTCAATTGTAAAGAAGAATCATATATGTGGGCGCTACTACCTTGTTTGCCAAGGCAATATAAAACCAAACCAACGTGCACCTTTATTGACCCCAAACAAGCTTTCATTAAAAAAACCAAAACGGCGTCGTTTCTTCTAAACAAACCACATCGCTAAACCATTTGATACTATCTCCCATATGTTGTTCTACCCGACAACTACAAATATCACCACCACTTCATTGTATCTCGTGTTTTTTCAGATCTAATAATCGTAAATTAAGATTTTATTTATACTTCAACTTCGACCTAGATAAGAATAATATTGTTCCTCGTTCATAACATTCATAACATGTTTTTTTCAAGGATTGGGCGCTCTCTGTCGCGTTCTTCTCGCGTTAAAGTAAGGTTTTTTTTCTCCCCTTTTTCACTTCAATTCGATTCGACTAGTTTCTTCACAAAGATTCTAACTTTGGTGATTTTTTTTCATTGGGTTGTGTATAGAATTTGTTGCACGGTGATTCGAGATTGGGAGCGGTTTCTGGAGTTTCGCGAACGAATGTCTATTCTGACGGTGTTGAAGGGGGGTTAGGGTTTTTCAGGGGTTACGTATCTTCTTCAGTAGCTCGTAATCATGGTTTCGTTTCTAATTTGTCGGATTTTAAATCTGTTGCTGCAAACCCTAGGCTTGTTCGTTTGTTTTCCAGTGAAGCCCCCAAGAAGAAGAGTAAGTTAGGGTTTTGTTGTTGTTGTTGTTGTTGTTTCTTAATGTATGCTTAGCGCTATGAAATTGGGAAATAGGGTTTTGTTGGTTTTAGCTACTTAGTTTTGATTCTGATTAGTATTTTGTTGTTTTTTTTTTTGGCAGATTATGAAAACTTTTATCCTAAGGGACAGAAGGAAGTACCTAAGGGGAATGACAAAAAAAATGAGTCTAAAGGTATTGGTTATACTTTGTTTAATTGTGAATTGGGAAACTGTAACGGAAAGTTATTTGAGAATTGTGGTCATAGCTTATGCGATGAGCTATGTGTTTCTCAGGGAGCTTTTTGTTATACTAGATTTGGTATATTTTTATTTAAGTGAATTTATGTTACTTTTTTTTAGTTAATTTTTTATAGCATTATATACCTTCTTTCTGATGAGATACTTGAGAATCAAGTAGCATTCTCCTTGCTCCTATCCGGCATTCTAGTTAGTGTTGGATTCAAACTCAAATGAACACTTTACACTATATGGATGATTCCGGGTTCTGAAGAAAATCTTCCAATCCCAACTACATGCTCTTTCTCACTCATATTTTTGGTTTGTACTGGTTTAGTTTTGAGGTACTTATATATATGTGTGGGGAATTAGTCATGCAAATGCTTTTTGGATTGTCTTGTTATAAATGGTTATCACCAGCAACATTTGACACTTGAATTCATGCTTTGATTTCAGAGGAGTCCAAGTCAAACTCAGAGGATCAAGGAGGTTTTCAAGAAGCCTTCATGAAGCAATTTCAAAGTTTTCTCACCCCATTGTTGGTGATGGGGCTATTTCTTTCGTCCTTTTCTTTTGGTCCCCGTGAGCAGCAGCAGGTAACCATAACTTCAAACATGTTTGGGGCTATTAATTTGCTTGTGCTGATGAAGTTGGTTTGATTTGAGGACGTGTTAGATCTATGAATATCAACTTCCATTTTACGGATGCAATGGTTTCTAATGCACAAAAAATGAATCTTGTGTTGCTAGGCAAATTATGCAATAAGAGAGTGTTGGGGTAGCACATATAGTAGAAAAGATAGTGAAAAATAGATTTAGGTGGTTTGAGCATGTAGAGAGAAGACATGTAAATCTGTGGTGAGGAGAGTAGATTAGATGGAGAACAGTCAAACAACTAGAGGTTGAGAAAAACTTAAGAGTAGTTATTAAGAAAAATCCCGAGATTAATGATTTGCATAGAAGCATGGTCATGGGTAGAACATTATGGCGGGAGTTGATCCATGTAGGAAGTTGATCCATAGCTGACCCTACTTAGTGGGATAATGCATGGTTGTTGTTGTTGTTGTAGCTAGAAGTTACTGTTTGACTGCAATTTTATAATTGAAAAGTGAGTACCTATGAGATGAGCTTTGTGCTGTGGTGATTGACAGCTTTTACTGAAGGTCCATTAAACAAGAATACTATTAGGATGTTTTTGAGGTTTTTTATCATCCATTTTTTTGCTAGCATCTGATTTCAAGTCTCAAACTAGCTTGGTTTTAGACAATTAATGACATTTCACTATATTTTATTTGTCCCGAGGGTGCCGTTGTATGATAATTAACACGCTCCTGTGATTGACAGCTTTTTTTGAAGGTCCATTAAACAAGAGTACTATTAGGATATATTTGAGATTTTTATTATCCATTTTCCAGCTAGCATCTGCTTCAAGTCTCGAACTAGCGTAGTTTTGAATAATTAATGACATTTCAGTATATTTTATTTGTCTCGAGGGGGCCTTCATATGATAATTAGCATGTGAGTCTTTGTATGATAATTACAATGTAAACTGAACTACATGCCCTGTGATAATGGGACAACTCTTCATCTTTGTCTGGCCTTCATATGATAATTAGCATGTGAGTCTTTGTATGATAATTACAATGTAAACTGAACTACATGCCCTGTGATAATGGGACAACTCTTCATCTTTGTCTGGCCTTCATATGATAATTAGCATGTGAGTCTTTGTATGATAATTACAATGTAAACTGAACTACATGCCCTGTGATAATGGGACAACTCTTCATCTTTGTCTGGCTTTCGTAGCTTATTAAGTTATTATCATAATGCTAATGAAAATAAGAATTTGATTCTTTGCAGATTAGCTTTCAGGAGTTTAAAAATAAGCTTTTGGAACCAGGATTAGTAGACCATATTGTTGTCTCCAACAAATCAGTTGCCAAAGTATATGTAAGGAACTCTCCCCGTGATCAAACTGACAGTGAAGTACTCCAAGGAAACCTTCCTGCAAAGGGGTCTAGTGGCCAATATAAATATTATTTCAATATTGGAAGTGTTGAGTCTTTCGAGGAGAAGTTAGAGGAAGTGCAAGAAACACTAGGCGTTGACCCTCACGATTATGTTCCTGTTACATATTCTTCTGAACTGGTTTGGTACCAGGAGTTGATGAGGTTTGCTCCAACCCTGTTACTTTTGGGAACTCTCTTGTATACGGGAAGGAGAATGCAAGGTGGATTTGGTGTTGGTGGCGGCGGTGGTGGTAAGGGTGCTCGTGGAATATTTAACATCGGAAAAGCACATGTTACTAAAGTAGACAAAAATGCCAAAAACAAGGTTGGTAACATATTCTTCTATAAATAATGGATAATATTTTTCATATTTGCCTTTCCCCTTCTCACTTTTTCTTTAGGGTGTTGTGGTGGTGAATAGCTTCAGTGATAAGTTCATTTAAGAGAATATTTTTCTTATTTGAATTCATTTTCTTCAGGTCTATTTTAAAGATGTTGCTGGATGTGATGAGGCAAAACAAGAAATTATGGAGTTTGTGCACTTCCTCAAGAATCCTAAGAAGTACGAAGAGCTTGGTGCCAAAATTCCAAAAGGTGCTCTTCTGGTCGGTCCCCCAGGTACAGGAAAAACCCTTTTAGCAAAAGCAACTGCAGGGGAGTCTGGTGTGCCATTTCTTTCTATATCTGGTTCTGATTTCATGGAAATGTTTGTCGGTGTTGGACCGTCAAGGGTGAGAAACTTGTTTCAGGAAGCAAGGCAGTGTGCTCCCAGTATAGTATTTATTGATGAGATTGATGCAATTGGTCGGAAAAGGGGCCGTGGAGGTTTCTCTGGTTCAAATGATGAGCGTGAAAGTACTTTAAATCAATTGTTGGTGGAGATGGATGGTTTTGGAACCACTGCTGGAGTTGTTGTGCTAGCAGGTACAAATAGACCTGATATATTAGACAATGCCCTACTTAGGCCTGGGCGTTTTGATCGCCAGATAACGATTGATGTACCGGACATTAAAGGCCGTGACCAGATTTTTCAGATTTACTTGAAAACGATCAAACTTGACCACGAGCCCTCATATTATTCTCAAAGGCTTGCAGCCCTTACTCCAGGTTTTGCCGGAGCAGACATTGCTAATGTTTGCAATGAAGCTGCGCTGATTGCTGCAAGAACTGATGAAGCACAAGTCACAATGGATCATTTCGAGGCAGCTATTGATAGGATCATTGGTGGTTTGGAGAAGAAGAACAAGGTATGCTTTTAAAAGCTCGTTTGTTGTTTTTTATATGAAAAGCACCTTTTTAAAATAAGAACTGAATATTTACAGGGTGTGGCTTGTTAAGCTGATTAAAACAATCAGATAATGAAAAAAATAAACAATTTTTTTAACTAGTTGTTATAGTCTCTAACAATACTCATGTTTCTTATCTAGGTAATAAGTAAGCTGGAAAGGCGTACTGTTGCTTACCATGAAGCAGGTCATGCTGTTACAGGTTGGTTCTTGGAACATACTGATCCATTGTTGAAAGTAACTATTGTTCCTCGCGGAACAGCAGCTCTTGGGTTTGCGCAGTATGTTCCTAATGAGAATCTTCTCAAGACTAAGGAGCAGCTTTTCGATATGACTTGTATGACCCTTGGTGGCCGGGCTGCTGAGAAGGTCGTTCATCATTTCCCATTTTGTTTACTCTCCTTTTTTTCTTTAATCCATCCTTTACGATGACTAATGGTGATATTGTTAGTCATGAGATGGGAATGATGGTTTCTGCCCCTTTTTACTACAGGTTCTCATTGGAACAATCTCTACAGGAGCACAAAATGACTTGGAGAAAGTGACCAAGATGACTTATGCCCAAGTAGCCGTCTATGGTTTCAGCGAAAAAGTTGGCCTCCTCTCTTTCCCTCAAAGAGAGGACTCGATGGAGATGACCAAACCATACAGCAGCAAAACTGGTGCAATAATTGACACTGAAGTCCGAGAATGGGTGAACAAAGCATACGAACGCACCATACAGCTTATAGAGGAACACAAGGTGAAAGTAGCCGAAATTGCAGAGTTGTTGCTTGAAAAAGAAGTACTTCACCAAGAGGACTTGCTTCGAATCTTGGGCGAGCGACCCTTCAAAAGTGCTGAGCCCACTCACTATGATACATTTAAGCTAGGGTTTCAAGATGAGGAGAAAGTTGTTGAAACCACAGTAGAGGAAGCCAAGGATGGTGGTGGGGGTTCGCCGCTAGAGCCGGAGGTTGTTCCCACATAGTAGAGTAAGTTTATGTTTGTTACCATTGTACATGAAATTCATAATCTTATTCCGCCATTTTGCTGATATGGACAAAACTTGTATGATAATTGCAAAATAAAAATATTGTTTCTGATTTTTTTCTTAAATATAATGTTTTGGCAGCAGTTATACTGTTGTACTCCCTCACAGAGAAAACAAAAATTACACTTATTAAGAAATGTAAAACATAATAATTTGGATCAAGATTTTTTGTGTGGTTTTCTTGAATCAATTGTCTTGAGAAGATGTAAAAATAATTCTAATTGGTTGTTAACGACTCTTTTCTCTAACAGTTCTATTTTTTTTAAGTGCTTGTTTGGTTGCTCGATTATAATTGGCTCTAAGAAAGTGAAATCAATACGCTCTTCCAAAATTAATTTTAGATGAAGTTCAAGTTCTTAGCTTCTGCAATACTATTTTGAAACTGATTTTTTCATTTTCATTAGAAGGGAAATTTGTTGATGCTACTTCTTTTATGAGACAAATGTTAGTTTATTTCTTTTTCCGGAAGAAAACTTTATGTTTGCAATTGAACTTAATTTTGTAATCTTATAATGTAATAATATAGGAAAATTACATTTATGCACTCCTGATTTTTTTTGAAGATAGCGAAACCAATCTGTTTAAAAATTACATATATATAGACTTTTGAGACACTATTGTTACTCATGATCATTTGAATTTATTGCAAAAAATTTAGATGTCGTTGGTCCTAAAAAGTCATAAGCGTCAAATATAAATACAGTATAAAATATAGAGGATTATTTAGGGAGTGCTCCCCCTACCATCGCAAAAAATTACAATTGTCTTCTGTAGTGTTTAGAGATGTATTTCTAGATGTATCTTTTTACACACTCAATGCATATTGAGAAATCTATAGTTTTATATAAATTTAGTTTGGAGATGCATCTCTGTATATCATAAAGGCGAGTTAAGAGATGTATCTCTATACTCTTTTATTTTATATACTCGTGTCAGACTCTTCCCTCTTTCTCTTTTATTTTCTGAAAAAAAAACGATACTCAAAAAACAACATTGAGCTCTTTATCACCGATTCAAGCTTCTCATCTATTCAAATTTCTCACTCTATTTTACTTCACGCACTGTAAAGTTATTCACTCCATTCAAGCTTCTGATCCACAACTTAGATTAGTAAGTTTTTCAAAATTTATTCTTTTTTGTGTGTGTTTTGAATGATGTTTTAGGTAACATAACTTGTTTAAGCTATATAAGATAATAATGCAATCAAAATAAGTAGCCTAAATGGATACATTGACATTTGGTTGGAGGTTAGGGCAACAATGGAGTTTCTGTCATGGCGGAGAAATCTCAACTTCATTCGAAGTTGCATCTCCAGATTTTGTCTGAATTATTTTTGGAGAAGTATCTCCAGATTTGTACCTGGCTGAATTTTGGATGAATTTGTGATATGACATTTTGGTTTTAACGCAAGTGCAAAGGAAAACACCCATAGCAGGATTAGGCTCGTTCTTGTGTCCCAAACTGCGTCTGTACGACGTGAGAAGGTCCCGATCAGGACCATGAGGTCATGAGTTGATGATAACTCCTTTGATGGTTCATAAAGTCGAGGTTTGTAACCACCTAGTTCTACTTCTCGTAGCCGTCTGTCTCATGCCTCAACTTTACAGGATCACGAGTTCCCATATGATGAAGCAACACTTGAAGTCTCTGAAACCCAAGAAGAACTGCTGCTGATGCCCCTTTAGAGAGTTATCCAGGAGGCTTATTTGACACCTCCTAACTTTATTTATATGGAGAACATGCTACTAGGCATGTATGAGAAAGAGATGTATATTTATTTATTTTTGTATTACATATGTTTTAATGTAATTAACTCACAATTTATGAAGATTTATTTTTTATAGGAGAACCTGTGTTTAAAATTGGTAAATCACGATAGAAAGATATTCGATTTGGAACAATCTAACGCTGACTGGTTCAGAGATGTATTCAGTTATTCTGCTATTTCGATTTATGTGTTGCATACATGATCATAAACCATGACATGCAAGCAACATTAACAAATAGATGTATTTCAGAGAAGTCATCTTTTCACCTTTCTATTGACGAGATGACCATTAACCTGGATGACTTCTCATACCTCCTACATCCTCCAATCAGGGGAAAATTACTAGACCACTGAAGGTTATGTCGAGAGGAAGTCAACGAGATACTGGTTACATATTTGGGAGTTGGCCTAACTGAGACCACATATGAGGTAGCTGATACCATATGTACTCGTGCTAGATTTAAAATTTTGGAAGAATTTTATAAAGACTAGTGGGCCGAGGCTGTCGATGGTGATGATATACCTGGTTGAATACCATCAGACCTGTAAATTGAGGTGTTATCTTTTGTTTCTAGTTGACACATTCATTTTTGTTGTCAAAAGCGTAACCTACGTCGTGATCTATCTTAAATACTTTATTAATTTGACGATGATTCACAAGTAAAATTAGGGGGCCACCTGTTTGGTTTACCTGTACTTGAAGCATGTCGTGGGTTGTCTTTGAAAAACAAAGCAGATGACAGGAAGTTGCATGCTGCTTACGGTAATTTATTGTTACTAATATTTTTCATAATTATTTTGTTACACTTGTTATTAATATTTTATCAAAATCATTTTCAGAAATGAATCATCTCTCATTTTTCTCGCATCACCGGGTGGGAAGTTGTATCTAACTACACTGTCAATTGATCACATGCATCTGCCTTTGCCCCATACAGAGAGAATCAGGAGATCGAGCCATTCCAGGTGTATCTTGACTGTCATGTAGTAGATGACATTACCTTCTGCCCATACAACAGTCACTATCAAACGCGTTTGTTGAATGTCATTTCTATATACTCTAGATGACTAACATGTGAGTTAAGTCAGATGTATCCTTATCTTCCCGAGCAAGTGGTGCACCAATTTAGATATATGTAGATTATTTTGAGACTCACCCACTCAGAGTCCTCTCTTCCCACCATCATATGCAGAGATCTTAATGCAATACTTGAGGATTTTGAGAGTCACTTGATACCAGAGGAGTATTGCAGAGTGTCAGCTCCTGTATTATAGACTGATGTTGACAGCTACATGACATGATTCTATAGGATGTCACACCTTATCATGACACCATACGCTTCTGAATGATCACCTAAGTCATATAATCAAGAGGTACTAGAGGCTAGGGATGACCACACCGAGGACGTGTCGGCGGTCTACCGATGTATTATGGATATAGAGAGATCATGCATAAAGGCTAGACTATTTGAGAAAGATAGTCCGCAATTGACCCTTATAGAAGGCATGATTGCCGAGACATGAAATGCCTTGCAGTACAGGTGGTGGGGAAGACAAATGTTTAGACATACCCAGTAGTTTGTGCTTGTTATTATTATTTTTTATATTTTCGGAACAAATTATGTAAGGTCGGCACATTGTGATAGCTGTATGAATTTTTCTTCATAATAGTGTACTATGTTTAAATCAATTCATGTATGCCTTTTACATTTAATTTATGACATAAAATGACCTAAAATATGTTGGTCTAAAAAATATCTAATTTATGACAAGGTTGCTGCTTAGAAAGCATCAGAGAGTGTTACGGAGATACATCTCTAGATACACCTAGATAATATTCAGAGATGCATCTCCAGACCATATTTTTTTACAAACGGGGGATATCAAAAATACAAAAAATAATGTGATTTTAGATCGGTTCGAAGATATATCTCCAAATACATGAAGGATATTTTCAGATTTTCAGAAGTGTAGGGTGCATCCCTAAGGATGAAAAGAATATTTTCTAAAATATATTCGAACACACTTTGTCATATTTGACCATTTTGCTTGAAGTGTCATCTTTGCTTTACAAGTGAAGAAATTTCAGTCGAGTTCACACATATATATTTTCTTTCTATCCATCCATTAACTAAAATATCTACTTACTTAAGTGTCAACCTTTCTTTTCGTGAATCGGTCAAGAAGTTAACGATCCTTTTTAAAGATACTCACACACGCTTAAATAAATAAAAACAAACATCTATAACAAAATCATGTTATGTATTTGAAGCCTAAATTTTTTTGATAATATAATAACAAAATGATATTTAAAGATATTGTGGTATTTTATTGGTGATATATGCTGAGCTAACCTATCAATTAAAATAACAAAAAAATATTAAACATGTGCAACTTAAAATACCCACACATTATTTTTTATCACAGGATTTATGTCAAACTTTATTTTGTTCTGAACACTTTCCGTGGTTATATGTTTCCTTAACTAGTATTATGTTTTTTTAATTAGTATTTTTTATCTCGTGTAATACATGAAATAAATTATGAATATATATTATATATGAGAAAAAAATTTAAAATTTTTGTTGATTAAGTAGTTAAAGTATATAGATATTAGTAATACATTAACAAGTTGAAATAATTAATATTAAATATTAATTAATATATTAAATAATATTTATTAAAAAAAAAAAATTTTTTTATTTAAGTTGAGTTTTATTCAAAATTTGACGCCTAATATATATATATATATATATATATATATATATATATATATATATATATATATATATATATATATATATATATATATATATATATATATATATATATATATATATATATATATATATATATATATATATATATATATATATATATATATATATATATATATATCAAGGATAATTAAATATATTAAGGATAATATTTTAATATATTAAGGATAATTAAAAAAGATAGCGTATCGAATTTTTAAAAATTCCGTTGACACTATTATACATCATATCAAACTTATTTTTTAAAAATTGACAGTGTTAAACTTTATGTTTTCTAAAATAATTACAAAGAAAAATGCATGTTTAATTGGATTTTTAATCTGTCAATCATCTTCATAAAAATAAATGTCTGAAATGCCACCATCTCAAAAAAAAAAAAGGGTCTTAAAGTC